CCCACCACCACCTCCGCTCCCTCTCCCCCTAAATCACCAGAATGGCCTCCTTCAAGCCGCACAGGAGAGACTATTGATGGCAGCCCGTCTCTCCCGCCTCCCTCTAGCACAGAAGACAGCCAGAATCAAAAGTGTGCCACAACAATGGGCCAGAGGAGGAAATATTCCGGGCTCCGCCACTTTTTAACATAACGGCACCCTGACCCGCGGCAGACTTACATTGTTATGGTAGCAATTCACAAAGTGTGCCAGGGCGGCTTTTATTATGCGCGGGTAAAACACAAAGTTGTCGCTGTGGCCCGGCGCACACTCTAAAAGCAAACGCAATGATAGAAAATATTTCTGTGATGACTTTTTAACATCGATCATGTGTGTTAAAATTAGATTGTGTTTTTAATCTAATAATTAAGTGTCATCATTTTCTCTTTGGAGCTTATCATATATCATTTTTTCCATTCTGCGTATTTGCTCTGCTTTGTGCGCACCGGGCGCGCAATGATGAACAAAATGCCTCTCCATCAGTGAACGCATGCCACTAAATATGAATGCATACACGTCTGCCTCACGAGGAACATGTTTTAAATCACTGCAAGGCATTTCTGAAGCCAAGTGTGCCCATGAGTCTCAGTGGTTATGCGACCACAACCAAAACAACAACTGTTCTATCGTTAGAACATCTTTAAAAGTTGTTTGTTTCTGATACCCAAGAGCAATGTCTCAGCTAGTTTACACAACTGTATAATCACGTGACCATATTAGTGCATTCATTTCCTTTTTTTGCACAAAGGGCGTGCAAAAACGCATAAAACGACTATTCCATCTAATCGTTTTTTGCCAATAAGTCCATGTTTTGTCTCCCTTACAAAGAACAAAAGGTGTCTCATTTTGATATCAAGTGTGTTTAAGATAATATAAGAAAAAAAGTTGTCAACTGCTTGATTCACATTTGACATCAAATATTTCATGAAAAGTGATGACACGTTAAAAAAGTTCTGGGCTGTTTCTCGATTGTTCTGCCCTATAAACTCTATTATCACTCTCACTAAGGGTTATGGTGGTTTGCCCTCCGCTCAGCTGACCCTCCACGTGTGCTCTTTTCACAAACACCCTCCTTCTCCTGATGCATAATAATGTTGTATGGAAGCCTACATCTCTTGATCCGACCAAATTACCATCCCGCTCACTCAGAGTGTCTCAGCGAGCAAACAACTGGGCGAGCAGCTTTATGAGCCAAACAGCAGGCCATCTGGCCGGGCCTCCGACAGCCCAAACCGGCAATTACCCTCCATTCAGAGACGGCCCCCGGCCAAATAATACCAAGTGAGAATTAGCCCTAGCTCAAGTCAGATAAAATCTAATATCCTCCTCATATTGCTGTGGAAAACTCGTCTTACCCACTCTTATGCGTTTACTGTGCAGCCAGCAGTTATGAGAGGCAATGGGTGCTCTGTGATTGACTTTATTTGGATGTGTCAGAGATGACAGAGGCTGATCTGTGTTTTTATGGCACGTATTAATCCGCTCTCCGCTCTGAAATGTGTAAAGTTCATCACAGCAAACATTTCTATAGCACATCCTCATCAGCGTGTCAGACTGCAGTCACATTCTGAAGGTTCCCCAGATTCCCTTTCCCCAAATCATTGGAAAAGTAATGAGTAGCGCTGCGCAGATTCTTTATCTATATTCTCAATAAGCTTCATTTGGAGTGTGAGCCATATCTGATAACCGCAGCGCTGATTGGTTTCAACAGAGCAAATTATCTGGAGCCGCATCTCTGAGAGGACGGTCTCCGTGATGGATTTTATCTGCATTTTAAATTCCTGCGTGTGACCCGTGGGAACAGGCTGTGCGCAGCGCCATCTGCCTCTGAACCACACACACACACACACACACACACACACACACACACACACACACACACACACACACACACACACACACACACACACACACACACACACACACACACTCAATCATGCTGAGAGGCTCAACAAGGGCAAAGTGTCCATTCAGTCCACACTTTTAAAATGATGCACATTTCGTTTTTATCATGACATTAGTGTCCGATGTCCATCACCAGGGCGACCACCCCTATATTTTGTAGTGTTGTAAAGTATGATATGGAAAGATATGATGTCTATCAAAGTGTCCTCTGAGATTGGAGATAGTCCTCAAAATGTTCACATGATCATATTTATTGACATTTAGCTTAGAGGATTTTTGGATGCAGATGTGAACGGACTCACTGCACTGTTCCCTGTCAGAACAAAAGCTATTCATGTGTTCTGTAACTTGCAACGCTTGTAGGCGAAAAAATCCGTTGTATCAGGCCATTACGCATCTACAGAACCATTACGCACGGT